CCCAGATGTTGCTTGACATCTGGGAATATTAAAAAATTTTAAGAAAATGAACATTTCCCTGTATTGATCAGGGGCAGTGGGAGTTGTAGTCCAATAACGTCTGGAATAAGCCACATTGGCAACCTCTTCTTTAGGCTATGGGGCAACTGAGTTTAGAAGCTGCAATAAAGGTTATTGTAATTTAAGTTGTCCTTGTTGATACCACCACTTTGCCAAATAAGTGGAGATAGCGGGAAGAGGGAATGTAAAGAAAAGAGGCAAGAGTAACAGGATGGATATAGAGTAACAGGGAAAACCACCTATCCACCTGCCATTATATTTTTCCAAGTGATTGTTCCTCAAGCCACTCTTCCCTTGCAGGGTTCCAGACATATAGTTGTATATCCTGTGAGATTTCAGGCATATTTGCAATGGTGTGTTGTCTCTGAAAGATTCCATCTACTGCAAAGTGCACAGCAGTGCCCCAATTCAGCTCCATCTAGGTTTGGAAACTCCAGTATGCACATGATGCTTGTGCATCCTGAAGGCTTTCTTGCTAACTTAAATTGAGAGGGATGGGCTGTACCAAGTGTTCAACATGAAGTGTGTATGGGAATAGGAAAGTCCACTTATCAGGAGCTCTATGTGTGTCTGGGTGTTAGGCTTTGAATTACAATATTCTGTTCCTTGATGCTCTGTGGAACAGCATGCTGCATCTGCCCCACCATTTTATTGCTGAGCATTGTTTGAAGAAAAAGGAAGGGTGTTCTAGGAAAGGGCAGAGATTTAGAGGCTGATGCTTAGGTGCAGCACTTGCATAAGGCAAATGGAGCTCAATTTCCTCTTCTCACCTTTTAGTCCAAACTTTTTGTTGATGGACAATGGATAGGAGAGGAACAGCTTTATGTTCTGCACAGATAACTCTTTAAACATGGGTCAAAAAGTGGCAGCTCTACATGAAGTATATACAGGCTGACTGTTGACTTGTCTGTCTTATTTAAAGGAATGCGGATTTTTGCTTCTTGAATTGTTTTGCTGGTCCACAGCATCCATCAGTATTTAGATTTGAAATCTGCTTGATGCAGCTGCGTGAGCACTGGGGGGTGGGATATGTTCAGTTGAATTGGGACTCTAGAATACAAATGGAGATTTAAGGTTTGAAATGTGGGTGGGAGCAGGGGGGGAATGTTGCTTTAGCAGCCGCTCATATTGCCATAGCCTTTTTCTGAATCTTCCATGTTACATGAGCATACAGTTGTAGGAGGAATAGCCAAGGCAGAAATTTCCTGAATGGCTGTGAGTCCTGGAAGACCTGTTCCCTTCCTTTCAGGCCTTGCCTTACCTGGCTTGGGAGGGTGGGACCCTGATGATTTCAGCTACAAAAGCCGAAGCTGCTAAACAGACTCTTGGGTTGGGCTTTTGTTTGGGGGGGGGGTTCTGTTGAGGGAGGTTATTGCTTTTGGCTTTCTCTGTCTTTATTTTAGATCTTGTTCTGATTTATGTGGAAATTATTCAGGTTGGTTATGTATTTTGGTTGTGTACTGGCAGTAAGATGGAGCCATTACCTTGATCTTCTACATCAGTGGCTCCCAACACAAACACCACCACCACCAAGAGATCGCTTGAAAATTACTGAGGGTCTTGGTGGAGCACTTAATGATTTTTATGCCTGTTGTAGCTATTATAATGTGGACTGGATATGTGTCCAGTGCCTTTACTATACCTGTTGCACTGTATAGGCACCTCCCCACTTGCTCATGATCAGCACATGTGTGACTGCTGACACATGTGTTGTTTTCAGTGCCAAAAGGGGGGTGGGGGCGAAATGGACTTGCGCATGTCCAGGAACAGACTCCCCTGCATAACCAGGATTCCCCTGTAGTCCATGAAGTTGTGGCCCAATTTAATCCAATAACAGTTTGTGTCTGTCATTTTTTGCCTACTCCTGCACCGCCAGCTCCACTGTTCTTAGGTCTGCAAAGTGGTCTTTACAAATTGGTTCTCAGAACTGCACTTTGAGGTATATGTGCTTCCTGTGTTTATATCTAGAATACTAATGCAAAGATTGCATTCCAGAATTTCAAAAACCAGCATCGAGTTAAACGCTGAGAATAATCGTATTTTGATTTTGCTAGCACTCTTAGAATTTGAAGCAGAGTATTAAGCAGTAGGCTAAATCCCCCTTACTTCCACAACTTCCAATATCATGTATGTGGTCTTTCTGAAACAAGAAAGCTCTTGAGAAAAGCTTTTGATTACAAGTGGTGCATGAAACAAAATACTGCAATGTGCAGTGCTTCTGCCTAAGATCACAGCCAGCTGTGCCCTCACCCAGTTTCAGCCCCTTCCCCTTTTCCATCCTCGCCCTGCCAGTCAGCATTCCATGCCTGCAGAGCCATTGACATTAGACAATGTTATTTGCATGAATGGTGTTGCTTTGGCTGCGTAACAGTTGGCAGGTTGAGAATGAGTTTGCCATAACTATACATTGGTCTCCGCCCTTGCGAGGCAGCTTGCCCACCTGCCCAAGTCCCTTGCCCAGTGCTTCCCAAGCATCCAACAGCCAGCTGGTTGCCAGGCACTTGGGAACTGCAGTGTAAGGATTTGTGCCAGCCCTGTGCTTGGCATTTTCCAAGTGCTGAACACACGGCTGGCAGAGCTACTTTCCGCAAGGATCAGCTGTGCTAGAGTTTCCTACAGGGAACTAGTTGCATATTTTATCCGGCAGACTTGAAGACATTGCCCACCAGCTGATAGGTGGTGACTTCAACCCTGCTTTGTGCATATACTGGCTGCATGATAAAGTTCCCCACAGGGAACTCGGTCACACAGCTTGCCCAGTTGTGCCTCTGCCCCACACCTGATGTCACATATGATATCATATTAGGCAGGTGTGTATATTTTGGAGTGGCAGATTGGGACCCATGCCTTGCCTAACTTCCCCACCCCTGTGTCTTTACTTTTTCTACCAAGTCTGCAAGTCCCCCCCCAAACAGGCCCTAAGTTTTTCTGAGGCTTGTAAGAAAATTGTTCTCCTAGCCATTTTTGCAAGAGGAAGTGTCATCTTCCTGGTGGTAATTCTATTATTTCAAAAGATGCAGTGAACCTTCCTGTAAAGTGGCTGTCCAGTTCAAAGGGTAACTATCCATTGATGACTAAGGATTCCTTGGGAACCCAATAAGTATTATGATTTTTCTCCTACTCCTATGCATCAAGAAGATTCTAATGAGGCAAAGGTTGTGTCTATGCATGCATCAAAAGATGATGATGACAGAGCTGTGACTTCCTGCTTCCTAACATTTGCAGTCCTGGTGAATATTTGTGAGAATTTCACACAAGGCAGCATGCACCTGACATTCACAAACCTGTCTATGAACAAATACAATTTGTTAATTGGTTGTTGCAGATTAGTTTGTGTCATCAATAGTTTGCCCCCAACTATTTTATGTTCCTTTTGCACAATATCTTGCATAATTAAAGCCTAACTAATTACCTTTCATTTATTCATATGTAAAATTTATTTCTGAACTTTCATTGCTATTGGCCTATGTAAGGAGACAACTCTGAAATCTGTAGCATTTGAAAATTGTAGGTTATGCTCAGAACCATGTTTTTGTTTTTTTCTCTTCTAGGATAAGAATAGAACTGTTAAATGCATCAGTTTGCTTTCATAACTCACTATGGCATACCCAATAATAGTGTGATGGAACAGTGAGAGATTGTTCTCAGAAATAAAGTTAAAGCATCTTTAGGACCAGGTGGGGTCGCTAGGTCTAGAGGTGGTAGCTCTCCATTTCAATCGTTTTAAGACTCTGAAAGAGGGGACAACTTTTCTGCCCTCCTCTTTCAGTTCCTTTGCCCAGCTGCTGTGGAAGATAGGACACTGGTTTTGCACAGTTGGTAAAAGGAAATAACGATAGCATTTCCATTTTTCCAATCCCCGCCTCTTTCAAGTTAAGAAAAGCAAACATCCCTAGATCACAATCAGCATAAGTGTATGATAGAAGATTCAGGGCAGACAACAAGAAGTATTTTTTTCACGCCGGCTATTTTATTCAGAGGGCTAATGCACATATGTCTTGCTTGCATAGCTCCCAGAGGCTTCTGGTTAGCCACTGGGAAACAGAATTCTGAGCTAGATAGGCCTTTGGTCTGATCTAGCAGGTAATTTCTTATGTCTTAATGAATCATGTTGAATAATTCTGTATGATTTTAAAGCTTGCGTATCCTTAAAAGAAGAGAAGTTGGCTTAATAAGAGTTTACATTCCCTATTTAGTACTCCCTTTTTAAACAAACAAACAAAATGAAGAGGTTCTTCCAGTTTCAGCAAAAGTGGGGCTGTTTACTTGTGCAACATTAGCTCAAATATGTAAGTATTTGCAGTTTCAGGCCTTTAGTGTAAGAGTAAATCAAAAGAAGCCCTTGGTGATAAATGTAACTGAAGAATCCAGGCCTTTCAGTGATACAAGTAAGTGTGTTCGGTAGAGACTTGAGAGGTTATTGCTTCAAGCTGATCACAGTCACATCTTTCTGTAGCTTGAATGCCCTAGATAAACCTGTCACAGCGCTGGGTGTTACAGTAATTAAATAGCTAATGTATTTTTACCTTTTCAGTTTCTACCTCTATATGGGACTCTTCCACTTAAACGGAACTATGATTTTAATCATAGTCATTATACCTTAAATCAATTAAATTGGTGTGGTGTAAATACACATTTGTGAAAAAGGTTACACCAGGAAAAGAGAAATTAGCTTTTCATTAACAAAAAAAAAAAGGAGGAGAAAAAATAGACGGGGAGGTTTTATTTGCCTCTGCATCTTAGTATGTGCTCTCTGCCAAAGACTAGCATGACCTACTTTACAACAATAGCAGAAGAATCAAGCTGGGTTTTTTTGTTAACTGTCTTAAATTGGCCATGAATGCTACCTACGTATTCATTTGTAAGTATCTTTTTAAAAATAGCAACTGCATCTCAGACTTTTAAGATGGTATTTCCCTCCCTTTTCCTTTCTGTTCTAGATAATTAGCACCATGGAGCCTCAGGTGTCAAATGGCCCGACATCCAATACAACCAATGGACCTGCCAGTAACAGTAGGAACTGCCCTTCCCCTATGCAGACGGGGGCTGCTACAGATGACAGCAAAACAAACCTCATAGTCAACTATTTACCCCAGAATATGACCCAGGAAGAGTTCAGGAGCCTTTTTGGGAGCATTGGTGAAATAGAGTCCTGCAAGCTTGTGAGAGACAAAATTACAGGTAAAGTGCTTCATTCTTTTCTTATTTCTTGAGATTGGGACTTGCATGCTGTGGGCTTCTTTTTCTTTCTGACAAGGTCTTTACAAGTTGCCAAAGTTTACTACATCTTTTTTATATAAACACTTTACCTTGCCCAGCAATATAGAAATCATGTGTCCATTTTTCATTACGATACTTCCCTCATCCAACACCAGTGACATGAGGTATGCTAGATATTCTGAAGAAGAGCAAATCGCACAAGCACCTGTGTGTGAAATTACAAGATGAGGAAGCTGAGATGCCTTAGACCTAGATGAAAGTAGTATCATCCATATGACCAGGCATTAACCATAGCTTCGATGTAACACCTCACCTCCAGGCTACACTGCTATTTACCAAGGGGGTGAGGGGTAAGACAGTGGGGATGTCAGCAATATGTGGATATAGCGGTGGAGCCAGTCCAGCGCTCCCACCAACACACCTACAGACTGCCTGATGAAGCATCATACATATAGATGCTTACTGTGAATGTACTACCATGAGGCTTAGGTCAGTGTTTCCCAACCTTTTTTGGGCAAAGGCACACTTGTTTCATGAAAAAAATCTCGAGGCACACCACCATGCCAGATGGGGAAAGGTCACTTTTTACTTATGTAAAAAAAAAATAAAAAAATAGTAACAGCATAGAAGGTAGAGAAGGTAGGACTCGAACCAGTGGATTCACGTTACAATAAAGATTTTGACTAAACATGGGAAAGAACTTTCTGCTGGTAAGGGCTGTTCAACAGGGGAATGGTCTCCCTCGGGAGGTTTTCCCCTTCTTGGAGGTTTTTAAGCAGAGGTGGGATGTCTGTCTGCCATGGATGCTATGGCTGAGATTCCTGCACTGCAGGGGTTGTACAGTACTGGATAGCCCTGGGGATCCCTTCCAACTCTACGATTCTATTAGGATCCCTTTTATAAAAGAGAGAACTTTAATGGCACGGCCATTATTTATTTCGGCTTCTCCCAACGGGGCCACGAAGGATCAGAAAAGCTGAAGAAGAGACCCTTCCTCAGAGGAGGTGGGAGACCACCGGACCCGCCGAGGAGGGGAATCCGGCCGCCTTTCCCTCCAGAGCTTCGCCTTTTGCCCCGGCCAAGTTGCGCCGAGGGCGCCTTGCGGGCTCTGCGGGGCTTCAGGCGGAGCCTAGGAGCCACTTCCCAGCCTGGAGGGCAGGCTGTGCGCGGACCCCGCCACTCTCGGGGCGCGACCCAGACCCGGCTGCCTTCCACGGCCAGCAGAGGTAGGCCGCCGGCTTCTAACCCGGCGGAACTGGGGCGTCCCGGGCGCAGCGCCGCGCTCCCCGCTCCTCCCGCCCCGCCCCCTTCTCCCGGGTGCCCCCTCCCTCCTTTGTTCTCCGGAGCCCCGCCTCCCCCTCTGCCCCAGCTCGCCTATTGGCTCACGCAGCCGCCACTCAGGTGGGGGCCCGCTTTGGCCCCGCTCCCCGGCCGCCGAGAGAGAGTGGGAGCGTGCGGGGCGGGGCTGGGCGGCCGGGCGTCTCCTTCCCTGCACTGCTTCGGCCGCGTCTGCAGCCACCGCGGGACCAGGCGGGAGGCCAGTCATGCCCAGACACTGCCAGCCGCTCGGAAGGAGCCGTCGCTCCGCCGGGCAGCGCCTGCCTGCGCGCCCCTCGCTCCCTGCGCCGAGGATGGCGGGGGCGCCCTGCGCAAGGCAGCGCCGGGGCTGCTGGGCAAGCGGCAGATGCTAATGCAGTTTGGGGAATTCCTGTCACAGGGAGCAAGGCAGAAGCGGATGACGGGGCACGTTCCCCGGGGGAGCGGGGCCGGAGGATTAGCCCGACTCGCCCGCCTCCCTCCCACGGCACACTAGGCAACGTCCGGCGGCACACTAGTGTGCCGCGGAACACCGGTTGGGAAACACTGGCTTAGGTGGTGGAAGTAGATGCAGGGGTTCTCATGGGGACTGAGTTTCTAAATCAACGCAGAAAGGGCTGGAACCATGGAGGTGAACCTGTTTGCAAGTAGGTCACACAACTAACTCATAATTTCAGCTCCCTTTCAAAATTGGGACCATTTTAGTTTCTTTTACGGTAATCAAAATGTGTATTCTCTTTTAAGTTATCATCCTGTTCCTCTCCCCCCTCCACTTTATAAATTAAAATATGGTTCTTGTGTTGGTTCAGTTTAGTTCATCATTATGGATTGTTTTCTATAGACAGTTTGGTACAGCTTAGCTATAGTATGGTAATCAGCCTTTTCCCAGTACCAGAAAGGCTGACTAAATTTGATGTATTCTGGACATTGTTGGGGTTAACAAGCTAGGGTTGCCCATTTAGCTTGGTAAAGCAGCTCATCTTGTTTGCTTCATTCGTTATTGAGAAGAGAAGACTGCTGCCAAAATGTGCAGAGGAGTTTATAAACTTCCTGCTTTAATTTCTTTACTGATCCATTTATTTCATGGTAACAATAATAACATACAACACATTGTGAAGAAGCAAGCCTTGTAATCCAGAGGGTTTAAGAACTGTATTAGATTGACAGATGCAGGAGCATGTGGTCAAGGATGAATGGTGTCTTGGGAGGGGCTGGTAAGTTAGGGAGGTTCAGGAAAGGGTTTGGTGAAAGAATGGGTATTATAAAATCAGCTGAAGCAGGAATGGATATGACTTGAACAGGGAAGACTTGTAGACATAGGGAACAGTGATGAAGCTTCAGGGGTAACACAGAAGACCTGTGGACATAGGGAATAATGATGAGACTGCAGTGGGGAACAGTGGTGGTTCATGGAGAAGGCAAGGAAATGCAGATGAGAAGAGCTAGTTGAGAGTGCAGTAATTGAGAACATTTAAAAGTAAGAACTAGAAGCATAGAACATGATAAGGAACCAATGTAAAGGCTTGGAGTGACACATTTTGACTTGGTTGAAGAGAGTAGAAGTGGCTGAAGAGGACTAGGAAAGGAGAAGTTTGGTTATCTAAGAGAGAGGTGACCAGAGAATGAAGAACAATTAGAGACTAAAGAGCTGTGTGTGGAATTTAGATGCGCACACTGGGGCTTAAACCTCCCTCTACCACATTTAATAGACCTGTACATCATTTCAAAACCCAATTCCAAAACTCATGGGACTCTCCAGAGTGTCATCCTATATATATATATATATACCATGAAAAACTGAAGCTGGAGCCAAAAATTTATTGGGGTTATCCGTGGGAATTTCCATCCCAGCTATAAATAGGAAATTGAATACAGGACATTGAAAGAGATTTAGAGGCTGCTTGAGTGTAAGAAAGAAAAAAACAACAACAGAAGGCGTCAAGGAATAACTGGTATCTCAAAGAGTGACCAAAAATATATGTATACAGTTAGTGGGAAAAGCAATGATAATGAATATCATCTACCTGTAGACATGCTAACAAGAAGTAAGTAGAAAAGGCTGAAGGCAAGTAGATGAGAAAATTGAAGCAGGGCTGAAAAAAACCCAAAGGAGATGGGACTGAAGATGGTAATGGAACTGAAGCTGATTCAGAGCTGGAAGAGCTGGAAAATAGAGACCAAAAGATCATATGGAGGATTGGAGAATGTACAGTAGATAGAAAATTTAACTGGATTGTGTACACTTCTGCTTGGCTACAACATTTCCTGTGGGATAAGGGGAAGTTTTATGTTATATGGAAGATGAATTTATGGGTCTAGTAGGTGAACAGTGCTCATTTGTATTTCTATTGAGATTCAGATCTTAAATGCTTAGTATATATTTTAGCAAATAAGCCCTGCCATATAATGTGCTGAATTCAAAAAAGTGTAATGTGCGGCACAAGCGGTATGGCACCTGGCCTTCTCATCAGCATCTTAGTGAAAGAACTGCATTTGTTAGTCGCTGTGCAGTTCTGTGGACAGAGAGATGGCTTGAGAAATCACATTGGTTGCAACATCAGCATCCTTCCTGATAGGATGTTTACTTCTACATATATGAGCTATATATGAATTGTCACCCTTGTGAATGATACTTTGTTGGAAGGAACACAAGAAGCTGCTATATCCCAAATCAGACCATCAATTCATCTAGCTTAGTATTGTCTACCAGGCAAAGTCAGAGAGTTGCTAATTATTAAGTTGCATTGCTCTTCTTGATATAGTGAGCCTTCATAAGAATTTTGTTTTTTGGTCCTTGTTGGCCCATGCTTATCCTGTCCCAGCTGTACTAAGAGCCAAGCAAGGTTCAGCTGGAGCTGGAGTTGCATGGTATCAATTAGGGGCCATTGAGCAACATTCTTGGGAGCTCAAGATTCTGGAAGAGCCAGTAGGCATTGTTTTGGTGGAGGCCTGAGCTCATAATCTAAATGGCAAAGCAGCCTCATGAGCCCCAAGATCCATTCTCTTTCGCGAAGAGCCACCAGACAATGAATCGGGTAGAGCCTTTCACTCAAGCACATAGCTGTCAACTTTTCCCTTTTCTTGTGAGGAATCCTATTCAGAATAAGGGAATTTCCCTTAAAAAGGGGGAAACGTTGACAGCTATGCTCAAGCATTGCCTGCTAGTCTCCATGTGAGCGTTCTCTCTTCTCTGCCAGCAGTTTAGAGGGAATGATAGGTCTTGGGCTGTAACTGAGGTCGTGGAACTGTACATTTTTGTTCTCTTTTTGAGAGAATCCCTGATCTTACAATGTTTCTTCTGCATTGCCTTAGATTTCAGTCTGGCTTTGAGTCTGAAATTCCTGAGGCAAGCACCTGCTGGCCTATATCCATAGAGATCCCCTGTACTTTGGGATTACTGTCTGCAGTATCTGGAGATTGGGACATTCCAGGGCAGGTGTTGACCCAGATTCCTATACCCCAATACTTGGTTTCCAGGATGCTGTTGAGATCTAGTTCAGTTTCATAAATTGTGACTGACTTGCATTGCACAGTTTGACATGTTTGGGTAATATATTGATAGGTGTTGAAGGTATGTATTGATAGGTGCTGGAAGCATTCATGTAACTTCTTTCTTATGTCAAAACAACTTGCAGTGGCTTTTA